TTCGTACATCACAACTACTTAATCTGAAAGGGGTCCCACTGGAATCAATGGCACTGTTTTGAAAAGTACAGTTCTGTTTAGTGTGAATAAGTAGCAGAATCAACTCCCTTCTCTAAGGCTTAATTGGCATGACAGTCTACACAGTTGTTGCTCAAATGAAAGGAAACACGTCATCAGCAAGAATGATGCACCCAGGATGATGTAACTTGCTGTGTTTGAGAATTTGATCTTAAAGGCCAATTTGTCATTCCTGAGCCAATTGCAAGTTCTTGTATAATGTGATGCCATCTTGGCTCTCTCTCCTCTCTCCCAGGGCAGGTACATTTTTCTTTATTCATGCATGCATGTCACTTGAAAGCTCAGTAATGTTGCTAGGCCCTTCTTGACAAAATAACCAGCTGCCTCCTTTAAAAGGAAAAGTGCATCTGTTCTGTCAGTCATTTCCTCTCCCTTCTTCCCAATCAGTCAGTCCTCCACCATAGTGATGGATTCAGTCTCCTTGCCATTATTAGCTCTTCAAATTCAGAGCTTGGAAGAGTTCCAGGCTGAAGCCTCTCACAAACCCCCTGCAGCTCATCAGTTATATTGCCCCTCAGACGAAGGCCTTTCCAAAGGGTAGCTGCCAAGTTTTGTGCACCAGCATGTCTGACATTTAATGAGAACCTTTTAATTAATTTGCATAATTGCAAAACATGCATATAACCATTAAACTTCAACTTTATGATCATTGTGCCCTGTCTCAAGCAGTGACAGTGGGATAGTCAGCTACTCCAAATTTTTAAGTCTGGTGTGTTTGGATGCTGGCAGGCATATGGGGCCTTTGGCTAGAGAGATGAGTGCAAGAGAGAAGGGAGTGGGTGGATGCTGAAGGGTGTTGAGAACAGGGTTCTGGCATCTGTGGTGGATGGCTATCTGGAATATCATGAGGTGGCCAGGGAAGTTAGAACTGGAACTGAGGGATATCTAGAAGAATAGGTGCTGGGGAACCTGAGGTATTAGGGTAGCTGGAGTTGCGTGTTGGTGTGAGTCAGGGGTAGGGATCCTTTTTTAAGTCAGGGCCACTGGCCCAAAGAAAAAGTCAGGAGCCACACATGTGAGGAGCAAAACAAAAACTGCCCCACACCCTTCACTGATGTGGCCCCTCACTGAGAAGGAGAAGGACTCACTCCCCATGTTCCCCTCACAGACCAGAGCCTTGGGGTGGCCTAAGATAGTAGATTGTGTGCCTCACGGGCAGGATCTGCAGTACCAGTGCCAGCTCCCCAATACTTGTGGGGATGCTGAGCCTCAGGGGCCAGATTCAGGCAAGCCGGAGCTACACTGGACCCCTTGGAGTTAGGTTCCCCTCCACTGGTGTAGGTGATATTGCTTGGATGCTTGGCTTTTTGCAGAAACTGGATGGTGTGGGGGCGAATACCACTGCTAAAGGAAAAGAGATACAGAGGTGGAGTAGGTAGATATGGAGGTGTATGGGTCCTCAACTTGTGCTACTGACTTCCCCACCCCTTCTTCCTGCATGATATCTTGCAAGCAGAGCAGTGAGAGAAGAGCTGGATAGCTGCCTGTTCTTCAGGCACTAGAGTAGCCCTAAATAGCTGAAAAGTGGAATTGAATGTAGATGCCAGCTGCCTGCCTGCCCCTTAGCTGGATGGATGAGAACCCTGCTGAGACCTGGACATGCAGATCTGTTAAACTGATTACATTTGGCAGCCCTGCTTAAACCACGATTATTTTAAACAGGGAAGGCATTTCAGTTAGGTCAGCAACAGCTATGAATCTGACAGTGTTCACAGGTGCTTTATAGGATACAACATCCTGACTTCTTATTTTTCCTTTAACCCTTATGCTAAAAATTAAAAATGAAAATCCTAATCTTCCATGGAAGGCCACCTAAAAAGGGGAATAAATGAAGTGTATCCTTGGAGAAAGATGCAGAGCCAACAAAGTGTAAAATAAATTATCAGCTAACTTGGCTGGCTTTGAACTTTGTCCTGAGCCATCTTATACCTCTGAAGATCTCTTGTTGCATTTGTGGATTTTTTTTTTAAATCTATGAAGCCACTATATATTCTTCCTTCAATCCCTCTTTAAAAATCACTGCTGCTGGCATTCCTACATTGGCAATATACATATGTCCTGCAACTGCTGCTAATAGTACTCACGTTTATTATCCTGACACTCTTATTATTCTGCCTCCTGCACTTTCTTGTTTGCTCTCATTACCTTTTGCATTGCATCATATTGTTTCTTTGGGGCATGGCCTTCCTTTTTGTTACCTGTGTGTACAGTGCATATCACAATTGGGCCCTTTTCTTTGGTTAGAGCATCTTAGTGCTTGTACCATGAAAATAATTAACATCTAATGACTACAAACAGCTCAACTTAATCCCCAACAGAAATCCCAAATTGTGTTGACTGTAATAGGGTAGCTCAGTTGGTAAGTAGAACTGGAGAGCTGAACCCAGTCCAGGTGCTCACAGTTTGGTCAATTAAGTGGGCAGAGATGCACCTGGTGGCTATAAACAATCAATCAGAAGAAGTGCAAGAGAGCAGCCAGAGATAGAAAATGGTTACTGGTGGAGGGTGAAGGCAGGAGGCCACCAAGAGGGATTGGTGGCTGGTATCATGAAGCCAGGGCCAAAGGGATGGAGGAGTAGCAGAGGGAGATGCATGGTGATTCAGGGCTGCAGCCTAGTTCCAGAGAGCTGAAGGAAGGGGCTAATATGGATATCTCCTCACCTCAAAGAACACTGAATCAGTTGTGTGAAACTGGCATGGGGGCAGGGAAGAAAGTTTCCCATTGGTAAGAACAGTTTGCAGTCTAGGTGGCATATGATGAAACTGAGTCTGCTTTGGATTGTGTTTTAGGGGTTTTGTTAAGGATCCTTTAGACTGTTCTGTTGTTAAACCATACTGATGGGCTTAAGGAAAAAGTTGCATGATATTACTGGGGAATGAAAAAGGAAACTGAGGTGTTGAACAACTTGCTGGGCTACCAAGAGGGAGTGCCAAGGAGAGAGCCATATGGTTACATTGATCATGAGCCAAATTATTTTTTTTTCATACCAGTGAACTAGTGCCATTTCTTACAATAGGACCCACTTGTGAGGATAATTATACTTATTCAGAGTTCTGTTGACTGCAGTTGAATTGTATTGGTACAGCTAAGGCCCTTTATCCTTTAAAGAATTATGTATGTTCTGTGTAACCCCACTGAAATCAGTGGCACTACATGTGCATAAAATTAAGCATGTCTCAGTCTTTGTGACCTCAGGGAATAATGACTAGAATTTGGCCTAATTTCTTATGCCTCTTTAGTTATTAGATGCTGTTAAGCTAAAATATAATATAAACCCATTCTAACACAGGATAGAATTAAAATACTCTTAATGTTCATACTAACTTTCATAAAATGTAGTAAAATATGCTTTTAACTATCTTTGAAATTTTTAGTGGTTAGACTTGCTCTTTTTTTAAATACAATCTTTGTTTTGGTTATTCCGCTGGCAAATAAAGTGAGTTTAACAAATCTATTTATTACAATTTATACTAAACAATAACTTTGGTGTATGAAACATGAAATATTGCATGGTGTGGTGGTTACAATAAAGTGGCATTGAATAGGGTATGGGATGCTTATATAAAAAAGAAATAGAACAGTATTTTCAGTGGAGAAGTGTGTAAAGTTCAGACACATGATCTTTAATTTGTAAATATTTACATTACTTTAGCCCACTAAAGCAATTTGCTTTAAAATAAGATGGCAGGATTAATCAAAATAAATCTAAGTGCTCAGGCCTGGATGTAGTATATTTCACACATACTAACTCCTCCCTTAATATTGCAGTTATGTTCCTGAAATCTCTACTTTAAGGAAAACTGTTATACCACCCCAATTTCCCATTGGAATTCATGTATGTGGCAGGGGAAGGTTATCTTTCAGCATGTAGTGAACAAAGCTGGCAACCAAAATTATAAGGGATCATCGCACAACTTTAAAGAGCATGTGCTCTAATAAATAAGCAAGATAACAATGAAACAATGTTAACTGGGACAATGTTTAGTAAGGAGTTACCGTACCTAACTTCAAGCTTGGGAGAAGTCTCATTGTTTTCAACAGGGCTCATGTTCTTGAAAGGAACCATGTATTCAACTCCTTTGTGGACTAGGGCCTAAGGCCCTGATTTTGAAAATCCCATGCTGGAAGTATTGCTTACTATTGTATAGGCTAGTCAATGAAGAACACGGTAAAAGTCTGTAATCTGGGGCCTAAGGATAGATTAAAAAAAAAACCCCTCCCCATTCCCAACATAAAATCTTGTCCATTTTTTTAAAGAATAAAAATAACTTACAAGCTATGAAATATTGATTTTTTTTTTCACATTTAAACCCATCCTTGCCAAAAATGGACAGCTAAAGTACTAAAAGAAAATCTGTTCTCATGTTTATTGCTGGATGTGGAATGTGAATATTAAAATCTGTTTTCACAAGACTTCTATCCCAGTTTTGTGGATCAAAGAGATGAGCTTCTTGACTGATATCAATAGAGGTAGGACCACTGACTATCAGCTGAGAATCTGGCCCTAGACAAAGGGTTTTTTTTCCCCCTCATGAATGGTGTTTATAAGAAGTTATGTGTTTTGTCCACATTATAAGTGGCAATGCTTTCTCACTGATTGCTTCTTAAAAGGCTTAAGGGTTTTTTTGTTTTTCATTTTATTTTATTTTATTTTTTTTTTTTTTTTTTTTTGGAAGTAGCTGAAAATATTTCCATGATCCCTATGACACATTTCAGCTTTTTCTAAGTCGGTACCTGTATTGAGGCATAATTTTCATTTGCTCTGCACTTATGGTTCTTGATTCATGAAAAGAAACTAAAATGGGGACATTATGGTGTTATATTTCTTTCTTATGGGTAGGAGATGATTCTTATTAGCTGTTACAATAAACTTTGAATTGCATTTTAAATTAACATATTCATGTATTTGATTTCTTAACAGGCACTAACTTCAAGCTGCCGTTGTGAATATAGTATCTTCTGCAAGCAAATAACAGTAAGTAGTTGTGTATATTATAACTTAAAAAGATGTTATCTCTGGTTTTTGATTCCCTTATTATGTAAATGTGGTGTGTGTTAAACCTAATGATTATACATTGATCATCCTTTGATTAAATATTTCCATTTGTGCTGCTTATATGACAATCTGAAATTAGGTCAGCAATGTATGGATTACAAAAAGAATAGATACATAAAGTGAAGAGCTGGCCTATCTGTCTCCACTATAGCTGGTGGGACACCAGCAGTTTGCGTTCCCTGACCTAATCTTAAACCCTGTCTTTTATAGGGTGTTACTATATAAAGATCCCCATTTCCAAGGGACGAATACTTTCTTATGGTTAAATTTTTCAGTGTGTTCTCTCTTTCTAATTACTTGTGCAATTTCTTTTGTGGTCCTCCACTTATCTGAATTTAAAAAAGGAATGTCTAATCTGTTTGTTATTACCAACAACTGAAAACCAACAGTTTCTAATGAGTTAAAAACATCTTTCATATCCAATGGGTCACTATTTCCTCCATTACAGAACTCCTCTTTAATAGCAATTGTTCCTTATTGATCACCCAATCCATTACATAAAATATCTGCTGTAACAGGTATTCCTTATTAAACATTGTATTGTTTGTAACCTGCTTCTATAGAAATGTTTAGTACTTTGAAGGGATATTTTCCCTAGATACGTGGATTCTCATAGATTTGGATATGCTGAAGATAACCAGTGTCCCAACACACAATCTCATTTAAAAAAAAAAAATCGCAAATACAAAGTTAATCCTGCAGGTTAAGAAGCGCTCTAATCCTGAGAAGTCAAATACATTTATTGCTAACATCATGAGGATTCTGTAGGAGTATTTAATATATTTAATTTTCCACAAAAAGAGGTCTTGGAATGTTATTGTTGACTGACTAAAATGCATTCTTAAAGCCTGTTATGACTGCCTTGTTATGGCTTTTAACAACTCAAAGGTTTTTTTCTTTTTTTTTTTTTTTGTAAGTTTAGTGGATCAGCTGAAGGTCACACAGTGATGAGGTTAAAATAAGTCAGAAATAAAGATTGTCCTTTGCGTACATTGTTTTGATTTAAAAGCATTGTGTAAATATCCCTGAATCTGTCTTGAGCAGGAAAGAGAAATTGTGCAGGCAATCTCTTCAAATGGGGTTTCTCTCATGACCTGCCGTGTGTGAATATAGTCCGCTTCAGACTGTTGCATTTTGTGAAAGATCACCAGCTCTGCATGTGGAAGATGATGATGCTATCAAATGGGAGGGCTCATATGCTGAGAGAGAAGTTTGAAAGGATTTTGAGAGACATTCTTTTATAGGCTTCTCTACTGACTTGCTAAGTAATTTTTTGGGTGGTTGTGGGTGGGTGGTGGAAAATGGAAGCCTTTGTTTCTTCATCTGCAAACTGGGAAAATTATATCTACAACACACATGGATGCATTTCTTTCATAGTTTTTAAAATCTCTAATATATGTAGATTAAAGGTGAATAAATAGGAAGGAATTAACTTTCTCATGGCTGGCTATCTACTGAATACCTGTTAGGTTGTGGGCTTCAGTAGAGGGTGGTTCTTCTCCCCCATCCCCACACAGATCAGGACATAAAATTCCACAGAACTAGGATTTCTAGTATTTTTTTGTCACTGAGATAAAAGTAGTAACCTACCATAAAAGTTTGAACTGATCATGCCTATAACATTTCCAATTTCATCTGTTACCTCAGTGTTCACATCTGACTGGTCCATGATGCTCACTTGTGAAAATTTAAAAGAACTTTTATATATTCTACCATATGCACTTAAAAGTTGCTTCCATAAATGTCTGCATAGAAACCTCATTACACACTTTCAAAACTCCATTTGCCAACATAAAAGTTTGAACTGATCATGCCTATAACATTTCCAATTTCATCTGTTACCTCAGTGTTCACATCTGACTGGTCCATGATGCTCACTTGTGAAAATTTAAAAGAACTTTTATATATTCTACCATATGCACTTAAAAGTTGCTTCCATAAATGTCTGCATAGAAACCTCATTACACACTTTCAAAACTCCATTTGCCAACAGAAAACTTGACACACAAGACTGCTGGTCAGTGAATCCACTGCCCATTATGTTGATTAATTGTGACTCCTTTCTTTTTTGCACTCTATCATCTTTCATCTGTTTATAAGCTGTTTGGAGCAAAAAGTGGTCTTTTTGTTCTGTTTATAGTGTGCATAATGAGGTTCTGGTCCACAACTAGCACTCTGAAATGCTAAGAATTCAACTAATAATAAATTTGTATGGTCATGTTCACATAACTAAGGGAAATCTCTTTCCCATAGTAAATGAAATAAAGACCATCTGTATCTTAAGTCATACTCACTTGGTTGATTCCTATCTAAGCTGTGTAATAATTGATTTTTTTTTTCTTTGCTGAAAAGCAGCATTGTTAACATGGATTCAAAGTGGTTATAATGCTCTGGGATCCATAATTTCAAGGGTAACTTGCACAAATGGGGGTCATAACTAAAAGCTCTTCAGCTACCAGAGTACCCATTAAACTGTAAGAACACTCAAAAAGCCTTTGGGGGCAGATAAAATAGAAAATGAAGGAGCAAAGGATAGTCTTAAAAGTATCACTTATCCTAAATATCTTCATTTTAGTAATATCTTATTATTTGTATCATCTTCATGTGTAACTTGATTTTTAAGAAACAATGCTGTCCATTTCTTGAAAAAAGGTTGCTGTCTTGATATTTTCAGTTTGTAAGGGGATATAATGCTTGTGCTTTACATAAAGCAATATGTTCTTTCACAATAAAATATATTTAGGTGGCTTCACTGAAGTTCATGTTCCAATAGAGCTAAAATTATTTTCTAGTTCTCTCTTCTGGCCTTTGCAATGCAAATATCTGGCTTAGATGTAGGTAAGCCAAATAGCAGGGACTGTATTTAGCCATCCTTAGAGTAATGACTTGGGGATATGACAACTCCGGAGGAATAACTTCATGGGATTCCAAAATTTGCCATTGTACTATTTCTGAGGAGATAATAAAGCTAATGTGGGAGGTAGGAAGAGAAGTGGTTTGCAATTCCCTCTAGACAATCAAATCTCTAAATGCCAGAAGTTAAATGAGTCCAATGGTGGTAAGCTGGACTAAATGCAACTATGATAACATTTAACCAGTAAAAAACAGGACTATGTAGCACTTTAAAGACTAACAAGATGGCTTACTAGGTGATGAGCTTTCATGGGCTAGACCCACTTCCTCAGATCAAATTGTGGAAGAAAATTGTCACAACCATATATACCAAAGGATACAATCAAAAAAATGAACACATATGAAAATGACAATCACATTTCAGAACAGAAGGGGGATGAGGAGGGGAGGTAAATGTCTGTGTGCTAATAATATTAGAGGTGATAATTGGGGAAGCTATCTTTGTAACTAGTATGAGAACTAATGTCTTTGTTTAGACCTAGGTGATAAGTGTTGAATTTAAGTATGAATGACAGTTCAGAGGATTCTCTTTCAAGTCTGGTGTGAAAAGGTCTTTGAAGCAGGATGCAGGTAATCAAATCATTGAGACAATGCCCTTTCTGGTTGAAATGGCAAGAAACTGTTTTTTCTTTGTGATCCTGTCTAATACCTGTCTTGTGGGCACTGATTCTTTGAAGTGTCTGAGACATTTGTCCAATGTACAAAGCAGACGAACACTTTTGGCACAAATTATATTTCTGGATGAGCAGGAATATGTGTTCTTGATCTTATAACTGAAATGGTTAGGTCCAGTGATGGTGTCAGCAGAGTAAATATGTGGACACAAGGGAAGGTTCCAGGGTTGGTATTAGTGTGGTATGTCCTGAGGTGGTTGGTAAGCATCATCTTGAGGTTAGGTGGTTGTCTATAGGAGACTAGGGGTCTGTAACTAATTAAAGAGGGTAGGTGACGGGACCACTGCATTCCAGCCGCACTGAAGTAACTCCTGGGCTGGAGTGCCCTTCCCACTATGGAGAACCCCTGGCTGGCTGGAGAACCCCTACTTTGTGGTGGGCCCCATGGGGCTGCAACAGCTTCCTGCCTACAGCAGGTGGGGAGCTGCTCCAGCCCCCAGTGGATAACTGGGACTGATCAATCATTCACATACCTGGCATGAAGCCATAGGAGTCCAGGATAAGTGAGTCTCAGAAATGCATTGGGCTTCAGTTTGAGGGAAAGTAAATCCAACAAAAAATGAAGGCAGTTTTATGTAGGCAGTAATGTAAAATATTGCTTCTTGTTCAGCATTCAAATATGTGAAAAGTTATGCAGACTATATAACAAAACAGTTTTAACACCACCTCAGCAATTATCCAGGTAACAATGCCTGCAGTATCAGTATTGTAAATAGCATATTTCAAGATAAATCAATATAGTGCTACCTCAGCATTTCTAAAAGTCTCTATGATTACTAGGGCACTGACTGGGAGAGGAAAACGTGTGGAAGGTAATTAGAATGACCTTACACTATTGAGCTGCTGAATGGTGCTGGATCATTGTTCAGTACTGACAGTTGTTCTATAGGACTGTGCATGTTAGCACAGTATTTATACGGCTATCAACACCAGCAGCAAGAATCTAAATAGTAGACCAGTCCTTCCATTTGAGTACAATGTTTGGCTCTGAGTCTTAAGAGAAATTAAAGATACGTTGCTTTGTGTTAAATTTCTATTTTTCTTGCTCTCTTTTTTTTTTTTTTTTTTTTTTTTTTTTTTTTTCCTTTGGTGCTATAAGGTTTTTAAAGCTGTACATTTGTATTAGAGCATGTTAGGCCATCTGTATATTAAGGTCTTATTTAGAGATAGGTATGCTGCTTCCCCTAAGCTTTTGTGTCTAGGTTGTTCATCTGTCCTGTGTGGTGTTAAAAGTAATATTTGTCTGTGTTGCTTTTTAACATAGTTTCATGGTTGGTCCATTTTTCCTCAAGCCTGTAGAATGTATTGTATTTTGAAAAATGTGATTAAGCA